TTTTTCAAATCTTATTACAAAGGTACTTACCTAATTGTGGAATATAACTTTTCAAGACTTACAGAAATTATATATTCTGGTACCCGTTTTCTAATTGCTGGTAAATGTTATTTTTCAGTAGATTAATTTCAATTATTTGTTCAATAGTGAAGTACTTCGATAACGTCAAGTGTGATTTTGAAGGCTTAGCTGCTGCGCCTCTATATGTGTGATTCTAATATCACCCATTGTCACAAGGAGCAGAAAGTTGTGCCCCTTGATTTTAAGTATCTTTGTGATTGTATGTGGAAGGAGACATGGATTCTAGTCAGTATGGTAATCCCGTTTTTGATGTACATATATCTTGTAGGCATTTTAAAACTAAATACTTGGGTAAGTGGTTATCTTTATTTGTTTCAAACTGCAATAACTGCATTGGGTAATTTGATAATGGTATTGCTTTTGCAAACATATAAAGCTAGTAGATTGTTTAAATTCCTACATATTCAATTAAGTCGTGCGCTCCACGTGCCGAATTTGCATGATGAGTGTGCAATATAATTATGTAGTTGTGTTGAATAAAAACAGAGCTAAAGACAGAGTACCATGAGGGAATAGGGAGAGAGTTCCATGAGCAAACAGCAGCTGGAATTATGATCGGACAGAAGCAGAGGCAGATGCGAGAGAGAAGAATCTTTGACCGAAGCATTTAGGGATGTCTCATTTTGGTGTTTTAAGATTTTTTTTTTTTGGAAGGTCGGGTTGTATTTAGATTTGGGTTGGTTTTGTTAAATGGGATGATATTAAATTTGGGTTGAGTTTTTTTTATTGCAACAGGCTTTTACTTTTAACAATGTTCACTGCCCATTGTGAAAGGAGAAGGTTTTAACAAAGGGCGGCCAACAGTGGAAAATATGCTGCATGTTAAATTTTCTTTTTAGATACAATGATTGCCTCTTGTGAAATCTACGATATACATAAACTTTTTTGCAAGCATACGTTACAAAAGGTTATATTTGCAACATAATATTGAAATATCGTTGTCAAATATCAATTGAGTTAACCAACAAAAGCATACGTTTAATGACTTTAGCAGCACGCGCAAGTAATGAATGTTGTCATTTACATTTTGCAAGAAGCCATTTTCGTGAAGTGAATATAGTTAATTAGTTATGAGTTTATGAGTGTCTAGATATGTGACTTATACTTGATATTTTTTTCCAAATGATTACGAAGGTACTTTTCTAATAAAGTATTATAATTTGGGTGGTTATATTCATGCACATTTGTTTATAAATGCACCACATTTTAATTACATTAAAGGTTATTAACCTTTACTCATTACACTTATTTCCTTAACTTTTTTTTCGTCATATTCTTATTTTTAACATTTTATTGATTGGAAATTCTTGTCCTTAATTGTGTTTCTCGTGCAAAAATATTATTAATGTGCTTTAAAATGAGGTTTAAATATTTAATCGCATTTTTGCATTATTATTTGTTTACCTTATTTCGAAATACAATAGGCAAATGAATCTTTATACTCTACCTGAAAGAAAATTTTGGAGAGAAACCACAATCACGAACAATTTGTGTTAATTTGAGAATAAGAATGTGCTGAAAAAGAGATTGAGACATAAATATGATTATGTGTAAAGCTCATGAACATTTCGTGCAATTAAAATGCAGTATAGTTATTAAGAATGTGGTGTAAATATATTTAGCCATATATTTTTGTGACGTATGCTGCCTTGTTAGGATTTGATAAAAGTTGGAGAAATGAAAGAAGCTTATGTTGAAGCTCCACTGAGTGTTCTTGAAAAGAATCCACAATATAGACAAGCTTCACCTCTTGTTCGGGTCGAGAAGAGGTTTGAAGAGGTTCAGGCAAAACTTTCTGGGCAGTCAAGTTTCTTCTTCGTTTCCTTCGTGAGAGGAAAACTGACGTTTATAGTCCTTGGAAGCCGAAAAATTTGGTTGGGTGATTTTTTTTTTTTTTGATCCAAATGAAATCTTGGTTCATAATCGGTGACGAGGAACTCCTTTTTGTTTTTTTTTTTTTAAACAAACAAACCAAGCCTAAGAACTCGCCAAAATAACACAAATAAATCAACAGAGAAATTCATGCATCAGTCCATTTTGCACACTGTGAAGTTTGCACTTAGTCATGCAGACGGCATAAACAAACATGTGTGGTCTTTCTTTTTTACCAATAGGTGAAAATACAGAATTACATGCATAGAAAATAGTAAATGCAGCAGAAATTGTGGCATTCCAAATTTGAAGAAATTATAAACCACGTAGAATAATTCAAAAGGGTATAGAGAGTATATCATTCTTCCCCTTCCCCTTC